TAATATTTTTAATGAAAATTTTTATTTAATTATCTTAAATAATTATTTTTTATAGCTTGACCTCGCAAACATACTTTCGGCATACATACATTTATTAAACCAACGTTCTTTTCATAGGTGTGATATTAATAAATATAAGGCTTTGACGCCTGTAAAACAAAAATTGTAWTATACATCAAGGAGCTTTTATCTGCCGCGTATGTTTGTTATTTTAATATATGTGTTAGCTTAAATATAGTTTATTAGTGGAACTACCAAAAATAACCAAAAATTAATGGGCGTTAAATATTAAAAAAGAAAAAAACAAAAATGAATAAAAAAATAAAAAAAATTTTTTTTAATAATTTTTGTTGGATTGATTTATAGAGCTCCTAATAATTTATAGACCCGCAAACTGACTATTAGCGCACACCCCTTAAACCAACATTATTTCAAAAGTATGATAAAAATATAGCATACCTCAAGGCGTTTAACTTATCTATGGCATAATAGGCAAAATTTTTCTAACTTTTAACAAATTCTTGTTGACGAGAAGYAAATTAAAGAAATAAATATGTTTACACGTATAAAATCTGCTTTTAAAATTTTCTTAATTGGGGCAATTCCTATAGGTAAGACATACTATAATAAAACTAGACATATTTTTAAGAGTCAGAATATATTTTCATTTCATAAGTATGTAAGCTTTAAACCTAGTTGAACTTAAAAATATAATTATATTGTTCAATAAAAAATGTTGTACGAATAAAAGAAAAGATTTAGCATACATCAAGGCGCATATATGTGAGTTGATTGCTTTGAAAAAACGCTGAATTTGATCAAAGAGATCAACAAAATMTTTTTCTATATGTTCCTTCCTTCTCTATATTTTGGTATATTATTTACTTAATGCTCTCGACCTCAAATATTCGGKGCTTGAGCAGCTTATACTAACAGCTTGTTACTATCAATTTCTGGTCTCAACTGAATTATCCTAATTTCTTATGCACATTTTCTGTCATGAAGCACGTATATTTATATGCAAACGCTGGCATAATAGCACAAGTAGAAATAAATAAAAAAAAAGCAGGTAAAAGCAGTAATCCTCAGCAGCGCATAAAAAATTCCAGCATTCGGCCACAGCTGCAAACGCTGAACAGCTGAGCGCTGTCCATAAATCCGGGGTATTATTTAACAAACTAATCTACATAGCATAGACTTACGAATGGTATTTACTCAGACCTGCCAATGCATTGCTCAAATAAGCAAATAAGCACATAAGCATATTTTCAGAAATGTGCAGGCACTTTATTTATGTGTTCGGCTCATAAACTGCGCTATCCACTAGAGCAAATATATTGAACTACTAAAATATTAAATTTGCGCTGCAGCGTACTGAACTATTGTAAAGATATGCGCGCACGAATGTAGGCAACATATTTTGCCAGTTGATAGCTGGGCGTTGCAGCTTGCGAAGGAGAAATATGGGGTGATACAAAATGTTTACTTGGGAATCACAAAAATTGTTTAGGAAAAAAATTATAAAATACATTTTAATGAAGATATATAGTTTTCATGTAAAAATATGATTAGCAATGTATAGAAGTGAAATTATGACGAAAATTTCTTATATTGGAATTGAAATTGGAAAATCAAAGTTTATGCAAAAGCTTGCTAAAGTGCAACACAACCTCTAYCGTGTGTTTTGCATCAACTTGGTTGGCTGTAGTAAGTATACTAATGCCGCACATTGCTTAAGCATAGGCGCCGTGTCCTACTTTCAAAGAAAAATATGTATAAGCTGTTCATCACGCATTTCTTCATATATACATACATACATGCTTTAGCTGCTTATATTATTATATTTGCTGACTTATTCGCTGCATTTGTGAGAGAATTTCAAGCAAATACGCCAGTCTTGATATGAATAGACAACTTTCATTAGCTTAGCTTTGCCTAGTATTTCTTCTTCCTCTRTATGCGTGCAAATATATTTACTTGTTTATATGACAAATACAAAGCTTTGATTGTTTAACAACTGGCTGGCGCTCAATATGATTTGCTTTGAAGCATGCTGCAGCGATATGAGTGCGCTTAGTTCATTTCAGCTTTATGGCATACTTCAAGGCGTGCAGCTGTAATATAATTTTTCTTGTTTACTTTAGCAAATCCTCGAAAAGTTGTAATGAAATGGCAAAAATTTATTGCAACAGTTGTTTGGAATTATTTACGAGTTGGCATTAAAGCGGTGGCAGAAAGTGAGAGTGAGAGGCAGACAAWATTGCTGCTAGCCGACAAATAGAGGACAGTAAGTGCAGGCATTTTTGTTTAAGCTGGGATTAAAGGCAAATTTGGTATAATATGTGGATTTTTTGTGGMTGCTGGAAGAAGTTAGCACAACTTTATTTATTTTSGGTAGTCRAAAAAGTCTTTTCGTRTTTTGTCAACMGAAATATATGGAAAAAAATGGCAAAAAGATTAGAAATACGAAAATAAATAAAAAAATTTTYGACTACCCAAAATAAATAAAGTTGTGTCACCTTCCACGAAAAATCATGAGTAACTAATACGGCTTATTGACAAGCCAAGCGGAAAYGGAAGTGAAAACAATGCCGTAGAAAATCAAATAAGAGAGAATTAAATAAAATAACGAGCGCAAATTGGCTTGGGGCCACCAATGCGCACTAATTATTGGTAATCACGCGTGCCGCATGCGATTGACATCCAATCACAATCACTTTTTGAGCGCAAAGATGCACTTCAGGCGCCAAAGCGGCAGTTGCAACGTGCAATTAGCACTATAGCGCGCCGCCCGCTGCTGCGTTTTCGCGCACTCCACTGTCATTAACGTGTTGCAGCGATGTCACGTATGTGCCACAAAAAGGGCGCATAAATCAGCGCAATCACAATCAGGGTGACGAGGCACTCAGAGATATTGCTTGTATTGAAGAAAATAGAAATCGCATTGGCGCACAGCAATACAAAGCAGATTGCAGCGCTGTTGTTGTTGTTGCGCCAACAACAAAAGCGCGCAATTTGTGCATATTTTCGCATTAGCGAGCCGATAAGATCCACATTGTCACCACCAGCAACACTGCGGCCTGTGCAAGCGTGCGCGCATGTATGTGTGTGTGCGTGCAGCGCGCTGCCGTCCCTTTTGTGCGACCTTTAATTACAGTCACGCGCTAGAAATTATGCAGGCATTCATCGCGTCATGCCTGCTTATTGCTTGTTACTTATCATTGATGTGCTTTGGCTTTGTTCGTTGCCTACTTGCAGGGGTGCACACCCCCTGTGCGCTGTTTTCATGTCGTTAATTGAAAAGTGTGCTGTCGTTGTTGCTATTGTTATTATACTATTCATGTGCTGCACTTTCTTCTCCGTTTGATTTGCCAAATGTAAGGCAGTCTGCTTGTGCGCTGTGAATTTATGTGGCGTYGCTGCGTTTGTGGCATGAAAACAAAAGGCCGCGCTTCGATAAGTGACAGGTGTGAGTTGAGCAGCGTGTGATATGCGAAAGCCAGCGGACAGCACGAGCGCGCGCGCGTTCAGTCAWTGTTGCGTCATTCGCGTTACGTAAACACCACGTTGGAGTGCTGGCGCTGCTTTCAAGTCTAACTTCTTAAGGCGCTATTGTTGGCCGCCACCCTCATTTGCTGCCAATCACACGCTGACTTTGTGTTTCTGGGCGCTGCATTTTGTCAATTCACAAAGGATTTTAGCACGCCACCAACAACACGCACAAATTAGTGGCACACTTYCGCCGCCCTGCTGCTTCCGCTTGCCGTCGCTACCCACACTACTTCAACGCGCTTTATTTGCTGCTTACAAATCATGCACCCACACCCACACACACACAGATAAAGCAAGCCTRATAAAGTCGGCAAGCGCGCACTTGCTTATTTGCCTTTGTTTTGCGCATTCCAATTTGGTCTTTTGTTTATTTCGTAGCTTTTCTTATTTGTGCTTCCGTTTGGTGCTTTTGTCTTGTTGTTGTCAAAAGTTAAATGTTTGTCAAATCGCGCTTTAATGTCTACAATTTTCCTATTTAATCTCTCAACTTGACTTCTGTCAAGATTTTTGCGCACAGCACCGCTCACTYTCGTCAATCAGGAGCTAGGAAAGAGTTTTTAAAATAAAGCAGCKTTTGTAATTTAAAAGCAAGAAGTGRAAGTAAAGAAGCAACRCACAATATCTGGTCTGCGTTAAATAGCACTCAACACAAGTATTTGGAATTGAGATAATATGCTAGATTGACTTTTTGTCTAAAGCTTAAGTGTTWGGGCCATAATTCGTACAAAAGCCGCCCGAAAGTATGCGCAAATAAAGTCAAGTATGAGAGCACTCATATTTTTGAAACCCCGATAAATTGCGAGTAAAGAAGCTGAAGCCTACTTTTGGCTGCTTTTGCTACTTTGTGTTGCAGACAAATGCACTTCGTAGAAAAAGCTGAAGTTAAGTTGAATTATTGGGTAATTGAAGCGACAAATTTTGTTAAAAAACTTGAGCAAGGTGCTCTTAATATGCGACATTRTGTATTATATGAATATTTTKGAATGACAGCCTAGAGGTATGCTAGCATACGATTTKCTTTTCAAAGTTTTTGGAGCCAGCWATTATGAAAACATTTCGTTGAATTTTCGAAAAGATGTGAAACATTGTGAAACTTCAAGCATATTTCAGCTAATTTGAGCAACTCGTTAGGACTGAATTATTAATATAATTTTCTTGTTTATACCCTGAACAGGGTATTTTTAAGTTTGCTCAAAGTATGCAACACCTAAAAAGAGCCGTTAGAGACCCTACAAGGCATATACATAAATGGGCAGTATTGGGAGTCGATTTTGCAATGACCGTCTATCCGGCTGTATAAATGGAAACTTGTCCCTCAGTTTTTGACATATCGTGCACACGCACTTTTTGCACCAAGACGCTGCTATTTTTTTATAATCTCCGAAGAAATTATTAGGTTCGGACTACTGTAACATATAGCTGTCATATTTACTCGAAAGCTCACTGCATTTACATGTCGTCAACTAAATTACAAAACCCAAAAATCACTCKTCAAAGGCTTACAGGCGATGGAAAAACGATATAACAAAAAATATTCATATTGAAAAAAATTTTAGTATTGGTTAGGAAATGGTTATATACTAGTTATATATTAGTTGCATATTGGTTTCATATTAGTTATATATTGATATATATTGATATATCTGACAGTGGAAGCTGGAAATTTTATGCTACATATGTATATGTAATATGATATAGTGAGTAATAGGCAATAAAAAACTCAATTCCCAATTTTTCATGATATTATATGTTGTTTTGCATTTCAGATTACGATATAGAYGTGCAACCTCCAAATAATGTAGTTGCTTTTAGGCGCAAAATAAATTTAGTAGTATTTTATAAAGYGAACATCGAAATTTAACATTAAAAGCCTGTTACTTAAGCAAATAAATGCAATATATACTTGCTATTGCTTTTGACACCCAGGATTTAATCTATAATTAACTGTTTGAAAACAAAAAAAAAAAAAAAATTATTGAAAATTTAACATTACCCCATTTTTCAACTCTTTCTGCCACCTTAAATAGTTTTGCTTTAAAACATATAATTTTGTTACAGCAAAAGTCATTTAGCGGCTAAGTATGTGTATATAATGTAAACATGTATATACATATATGTACACCCTTGTAATTTCTAAAATTGTCACTTAACCCAAAAAGTAACCGCTTSTTTTTGTAGTACAACTTAATTACGCTGCTACCCGAAAAATTGGGCGCATGCTACTGTGACACATATGTTTTACGCGACTTGTACTCGTATGCATGGAAATGAGTTCACACACACAAACACACGTGCATACTTAAATCAATAAGGCAGTGTTGTATGCCGAATATGGCTGTAAGTCAACAAACAGCACTTCGTGAGCATATTTTTTATGTTTCGACATAAATCTCGCAAGCCTACATAAGTACAACGGTTTTTTGCACGCTGCTYACTTTTTCCACAGTTTCTTACTTTTATTTTTTTACGACTTGCTGCCCGTTGTCCCTCAGCGACATGGCAAATAATTAACTTTGCCTACATTTCCACTTCCTCAGCGTGTTCCTGTGACCAAACTGGGCACTGGCCTTGTCCGACATGTTCTTCCACTCAACTGCACCACACTCACACACACATACACAAGCTTTTATTAGTACGTCTGTTGGCTGGCTATTTTATGTTATTACCAATTCTGTAGTTGACATTTATGTGCCACTACTTAGCATACAATTGCATGTTTAGTTCATATGAAAGCAAAGGTACACTTGGCGCTGGCAAACACACGAGCACAGACACACACACACACTTGCAAATTTGTTAGTCTGTATTTCTGTACGTGTGTATTTGTGTGTTTGCAGGGGTAGCGCAAATCTGCAAAAAGGCCACCTGTACTTTAATATGTGCGGGGTAATTAGCAATGAATGCAATTTCAAAGGGATTTTCCGGCATCATAAACCAAGTCAACGCACATACGCACAAAGCAAAGAGAGATTATGCAGAGCATATACTTATATACACACATGCATGCTCATTCGTAATTTATATGTATATACAGTTGTGAATGTGTAAGGGTTTGGGTAAGTAGGCATGCTTGTTCAGCTGGAAAATGCAGAAGAAAATGAGCTTTAGCGAATGCTATTAACAATATCCTTAYGTCAATGTGGATTTGTCATGGAAGCAGCCAAATATATGTTTATGTGGAATCCGCTTTATGTATATGCTATTAAAGAGGTATTCGCTCAAGCAAACAGCTAATGGCGGCAAAATGTGTCACGGCAATGGGTTGTCACGAGCCTCTAAACATACAACTTTTTCATCTGCTGTTCCTTTCTCTCCCGGTTCGTGTCTTAGCTTCAATATTTTTGGCGGTTCCGAAGTGCATATAGATTTAAAATTTGCTTTTTATCAGCAATAATGTCACAAGTTTGATTTTGAGTGGCAATTTCCACTGTTAGTTGGTTTTTGTGCTTTATTTCAAATTTTTCCTCASCCGACCTATGACTTTTCGAGTGGCATTCACACATTTAGTCTCTTGTCTATCACTTGTTTTGAGTTACACCGAAGATTACCTACAATTTAAGATATGTCTGCAATAGTTGTTCAATTTTTGAGACATCGATACWAACTGATYGATCAAAACCCATACTAGGATATTTTTATATCCTTTAATGCTGCAAGCAGTGGAACTTCGTATGGTATTATAGACGGTTAGAATGATTCAGTCGAATTAAGAGTTTTTTCTGCAACTTTTAGAAAGTGCTTAGATAAGTAGATTCGCTGTGTAAATACGGTCTTAGCTCTGTAGAGGTGCCATTGTGATTCCAGCGAGACTAAAATCCACTCACTGGATTGTCTCTTTCTGAACCAGTCCGTGCTTGGGCGAGTTTCATCATATGAAAAGTTTTATATTGACAGCTTCTACAAGAGTCATAATGGTGTTCCCAGTCTGCTGGCATATCTGCCAATTGGATTTTTAAATAATTTTTTTTTTGTTTAATTTGAATATCCGGCCGGAATATGCAGCCTTTATTCCATTCGTGCCGCGTTTGCCTTCCATCTTTTCTTGAGTGTAATTGTAGGGCAGCACCTTATCTGGCTAAATCATCTGCTTTACAGTTATCAGGGATATCACTATACCTTGTAATCCATTGCGGGTTTATTGTCAAACAGGACGTTGGCTTTCAACAACTTTGACGAAACCCTAAGAGCGACTTCAAATAGGCCTGACTACCTATTTATATAAATAGGTTCCTTTTTGTGAGCTCACCTCTTATAAGAACTAGCAGGCTTTCTTTAATTGCTGTGATCTCCGCTTGRAAGACACTGYTRTGGTCTRGTGAACGGAATACGATTTTGGTATCCAGTTTTGCGGAGAGGACAYCACCTCCCACTAGGTTATCTAATTTGGAACTATCCGTTCAGTTAATTATCCCTGCACTCTTGCCTACCTAGCCCCTTTATCAGTCTCTCTGGAAGGTAAGACAGTATTATAGATAAAATTCGGATTCAACTCTGTAGGATTTTGAAAATCCCATCGATGTAGATGCCCATCCTTGCTGTCTTGTCTAATTCAACCCTTTCTCATCCTTCTCTGTTAGATAAGGCAATATTGAGGAACGAATTTAACTAAATTACTGGCTATACCAGAGAAACGGTACTAGAAACGGGAATTTACTAACTATATTTGAATGCCCCTTATTAGCAGCGACTAATGCGGGGTATTCCCTCAGTCTTAGCGCTGGCTTCACTGTCAGTTGCTCACAAATCAAGAAGAATTATTTTTACATATTTAATTTGGTTTTTTCGGTTGTTCCAGTTAACAATATATACTGGGTCTTTTCGTCTTTTGCCAATAGATGTCGTTGTTGTTGATTACAYATTTGTAAGTGTGAATAATTTAAAGAGATGAAAATTATATTTTTGCTACTCACAGTTCATGTCCAGCACAACTTTCCTCGTCAGAGCCGCCACAACGTGTCCGTTACTCGCTTGGCACGTGTAAACCTGTGGAAAGAGGAAAGAGGAGTAAGATTTAGAGCAGAGCAGCAGGAAATGAAGAGCAGCGACATATGTACATACGGATATAAACGAACACGACTAAATATTAATAACGGTAATAAAGCACGAGCGGCCTAGAAAAGCAAATGAAACKCGTTGCCACCTCGCCCAAAGTCATTATTTGCGTAATTATATGAATTTCCAGCGACTGTTACAAAATTCATTAGCTACTGAATGTTCCCACGCTGTAMGCATGCCAATGCATATATGTATRCATGTGTGTATGCCTCATTAACTCAATCATATGACTTGGTTGCATTTTCGAATTATTAGTTAAGGCTTATTAATTGGTATGTTGGCGCCATATCGTCAACACATCGCAGGTAATTAGTTTAGAACAACCAAACACACACATAAAAATATGCACACGCATACAAACACGCACAACGGAATGTTTTAATTATGTACGTATATTAAGAGACGAAAGTAAATGAGAAATTACTATTGAATCAAATTGTTTAATACATTATGGTAATTTCATTGCGACAACAAAAGAGATCGCCCGATAATGCGCGACGCAGCAGGAAAGCGCTGCTGGACTGACAGCGAAAAGGGGAACATTGATTAGCCGGCGCTGATTTGGTRTTATATAACTGAGCATGAAGAAATTGAAAAAAGAGATATTTGAACGTTTTCGAGCAGAACTAACGACACCTGTTGTGTGCGGAATAACTCCATATCAAAATTCTCCGGCGTTGTGCCATTCAGCGCTTTATTCAGCTGCATTGTTCTTTATTCAGCTACATTTTGTTTAAGCTGAATAAGTGCTGAAAACGTGTAAGCGTGTGAATTTTGCAAGCTGTTGCAACTTTAGCGTTATACAACTCAATTTCAATGTCAAAAAACGTAAAAACTTGCATTTATTTCTAATAATATCTCAACAAGTTGCCTGAAAACTTTAAAGGAAGTGTATTAACTTGTCTTTATAAAACAGCAAAATTTGTTATTAAGCATTTTGCTGCAAGCTTATTTAAATGCCACATCCCGTTAGTATGCGGCACAGTTATTATACGCAACTATTCCTGACATAATGCGATAATCCGGCAGAAACTTTTCCAAGGCTGCGCCGCAACWGCGAAGCAAAATTTGCGCAAACTTATATGAAACTTACAGCAGCAGCGGTAGAATCTTAAAAGCTTTGCCAGCTTTGTATAAATAGCTGTTTTCTTCACCGAATTATGTTTGTTGCACGCTCGTAAGCGCCCAAATAGTTTCACCTGAAACTTGGCGGCGTAAAGTTTTTGACAGACGTAAACACTTTGCCGATTCTCAGCACATGGCAAAATCTGTTCGTGTTGCCGAAAACGCAGAGATTTATTAGAAATTATTTCACTAAGTGCCTTTAAATGCAATGTGAGCGCGTTGTGCGCGCTTGTATGTGTGTGGAGGAAATATTGAAAAGTTGTGCAGTTAATGGAGAGCGCATTAATTTTGGAAAATCGTTCAGTTTGGTGTAAAAGAAGCGAGAAACATTTCACTGATCGAGATTTGACATGAACTGTTCCGTATAAGTCTCTCATTATGTCAGTTCTATTATACCACACAGAAACATGGACGCTGATGATCCGAGATGAAAAAGCAATTACAGCAGTCAAGGTAACTTTTCTTCACAAGTACTTTGGAGCCGTCCGCGTGAGCGATGAGTATTAGAGAAAATGGAACCACGAACGGTATGAGCTATACGACGACAAGGATATAATTCAGCGCATTWAAGTTCATCGAATGCGCTGRTTAGGACATGTCATTCGCGTGGAAGTTGATGCTTTAGAGAAAAGTTTCTTCGAGTCGAAACTCATGCATGGCAAAAACGTCCACGCATCCAACGAAAGGACCAAGTGGACAGCGACCTATCTACACTTGATATGTACAACGGAATTCGAGTTCCCGGATCAGACCGAGCCACGGTTGTAGTGCCAAAGCACAAGAAGAAAGTCTATACAAATTGCTGTATAGCAAACCGAACTGATATATTGGGTTGTAAAAAAAATTTTGCGGTATTTTTTATTGAATTTTCAATTGTTCATAAAATATTTTTTATGACTCATGCCCAGCTCTTGACCGATGCTACGGCTGCTACTAGGCGGGTCTCTTTCGACCAATTCAGCGATTCTATCGCAATTTTCGACGACAGGCCTYCCGGAGCGTGGCGCATCTTCGACCACCTMTWCACCAGAACGAAAACGTTGAAACCATCGTTGTGCGGCGGAAATGGAAACTGTATCGGGTCCATAAACTGCACAAATTTTATTGGCCCCTTGAGATGCATTTGTGTCTTTATCGTAGTAGTACTGTAAAATATGCCATATTTTCTCTTCATTTTGCTTTATATTTGTGACGCTATAACTCACGAACGACTTAAAAGAAACTACAGTCAATCAAACACGTGTTAGCGCGTGAAATGAGCTTTCCAAAAAGGTATAGCGTGACAAGATGCGATGAATAAAACTAGAACAACGCGCTCKCAGCGCTAACTAGCGAAAATACCGCAAGACTTTTTTGACAATCTAATATATTTTTCTTATATTCTTCTTCTTCTTTACTGGCCTAGACGCTTATGCGGTTATAGCCGAGTTAACAACAGCGCGCCAGTCGTTTCTGCTTTCGCAATTTGGCGTCAGTTCAAGGTATGCAACTGCAGCCAGGTCCTTCTCCACGTAATCTCTCCAACGGAGTGGAGGTCTCCTCTTCCGCTGCTTCCCCCGGCGGGTATTGCGTCGAATACTTTCAGAGCTGGAGTGTTTGCGTCCATACGTACGACATGACCTAGCCAGCGTAGCCGCTATCTCTTGATTCGTTGAACCATGTCAATGTTCTCGTATATCTTATACAGCTCATCGTTCCATCGAACGCAATATTCGCCGTGGCTAACGCACAAAGGACCATAAATCTTCTGCAAAATCTTTCTCTCGTAAACACCAACTGTCCATGCCTCTGCACTACATATCAGGACTTGAATAATGAGTTCCTTATTTAGTCTGGAGAAAGCAGAACAAACGGCGCGGTTGTTGAGGCTAATAATATAAATATCATCGGCGTATGCAAGCAACTGTACACTCTTATAGAAGAGCTTTGCAGCTCATATTATTTTCTCCAGCAATAGATTGTCATACGATAGGCAGTTGCATTGTCTGAAACCTCGTTTCATATCGAACGGCTCGCTCGGAGGTCCTTCCGATCCGTATCTGTATAGCAGAACGGAGATGATGAGTGACTTGTGGAGCTTCTCTTTGTTCGTCGATAGCGGGCTTTACTTTTGAATTGCCTACTCAGTCTAAAATTTGGATTCTATATGTAAATTTGTGCGTATTTGAAGACAGTTTGTTTACGATATCAAAATATTNGGAGTGTCTGCGTCCATACGTACGACATGACCTAGCCAGCGTAGCCGCTATCTCTTGATTCGTTGAACTATGTCAATGTTCTCGTATACCTCATACAGCTCATCGTTCCATCGAACGCAATATTCGCCGTGGCTAACGCGCAAAGGACCATAAACCTTCTGCAAAATCTTTCTCTCGTAAACTCAACTGTCCATGCCTCTGCACTACATATCACGACGGGAATAATGAGTTCCTTATTCAGTCTGGAGAAAGCAGAACAAACGGCGCGGTTGTTGAGGTTAATAATATAAATATCATCGGCGTATGCAAGCAACTGTACACTCTTATAGAAGAGCTTTGCATCTCATCATTATTTTCTCCAGCAATAGATTGTCATACGATAGGCAGTTGCATTGTCTGAAACCTCGCTTCATATCGAACGGCTCGCTCGGAAGTCCTTCCCATCCGTATCTGTATAGCAGGACGGAGATGATGAGTGACTTGTGGAGCTTCTTTTTGTTCGTCGAGAGCGGACTTTACTTTTGAATTGCCTACTCAGTCTAAAATTTGGATTCTATATGTAAATKTGTGCGTATTTGAAGACAGTTTGTTTACGATATCAAAATATTGTTCCAATTTAGTTTAGGCGAGTTGTTCCTGGATCCAGATTTGTCGGAACAACAACAGAAGTGACAGAAAAAAGTCACATGAAGCTAAAGTTGGCATAGATGTTGGCTAAACGACAACTTTCGTTTCATGCTTGTCCAAAAAGTTTCATTTCGAGCCTAATTTCGAAGGAAATAAGACCCGATAATGGCGTCATATCACAATCTGCAGCAATTGGTCGAATTTTGGGGATGCAATAGCGTTTCCTGAGCCACATGAGGTTTCGACTCATCCAAATAGCTGTCTTTGTATATGATGATGAAGCTGTTAGCTAGAAGCGGCTTCTTCTCGGTTGATTTTTCTATGGAGGTAAGTTTGTGAATTTTTCGAAGAAAAAAAGATTTTGGGTATATTCCTGGAAAATGTCCAGGCAATGCACTAAGGTGAAACGCGACATCATTAAATGGCAAACCTTACTAAACGTACTGACAAAATATGACACAAATCTGTAAAAAAAAGAATGGCCGCTGAAGGATACATTATGCTGCGGCTAGGTTTCCAAATATCTAGAGCCTTAGCTAGAATTGTGTTATTACCTAATTTAGAAGGCATTTCGTATGCTATTGGAATCTWGCGCATACCATTCTTTTTAAATTTGCATATCTTGATGGAGAATGGAATTTACTTCTGCTTTTATTTTAGCAGCAGTCAAACAGACCACACATAAATTTTGCTTGAATTGTCATAAGAGCCAGACCACAATAGACAAATCAAAGAAAGCAAGGGGAAAAAAAAATAAAAAATAAATAAAAAAAAAATTTGTAACGAACAAATGAATTCTGTAACAGAGAGCAAACTATAACTGTAATTGAAAAATTGAAGTATATAACTTGCGTCGTAAAGCCGATTAAGACCGTTTCAGACAGCCACCATACAACAGAYGCCCCGGAACCGAGCATATGAGCCACAAAGCTAACCAAAGCCAACTCAGTGCGGTYTTAGTCCAAAGCATCTGGGCAG